TCAAGGCTGCGCTGTATGTATTGTATGTGTGTGTGAGCATGATTATGCATATGCGTGTTTTAGGTGAGCGCTTACACGTTTAATGCATGAGTGTTTGTGAACCGAGTGAGAGCGTGAATGCATGCGTGTGCTAATGCTGTGCTTTTACGGTGAAGATTACACTACTTTTGCTGTCAGCCGAGACAAACTATCTCTCCAGTATTAAACCCTGTCACTATGTCTTTCCTTCCCCTGGGCCTCTCATACAAGTTCGGCCCCACAAAGTCAGTTAGTGAGAGAAAAATAAAACTTTTATCTCCTGCAACAACAAAGGTATAGTTGGTACAGAAGCAAACTCTCAAGCATTTACAGGCATAATTGAAGTTGATGCTAAGTCTAAACCCTGCTTGTGACTTCTGACCTATATAAACATACTTTTGAAGAGCAGCAGCTGCAAAAATCAAAAGGCACATTGATAGGGGTTATGAGCCTGACACTGTTCAGGTTAACATCTGCTTCTACTTAAAAATGATCCTGCTTGTGTATTCTTTTACAGTACCTGAGTATTTTGACACCTCACAGATTTGGATGACACACTGTTTTTTGAAGGCTATCAAATGGTTTTCTCTACTCTCTCACCAAGGTCAACACACTTTACAGGGTCTTTTTCGGATAAAGGTCACGTCGGTGTCAAGTGTCAAACATGTAAAAACTGGCAGACTGCAGTGTGTGTGCATGTGTACTTGAGTAGACAACAATTACAGCTAGACGTGGAGTATATAAATGGATAAATGAAAAGACTGTCTGCCTCCTACAGGAAAAGTGTCCATCCAGGGAGTTTTAAAAAAGTTCTTAAAATGTGGACACTAAGAATACACCTTAGCTTAGCAGGATAACACGGATCATTGTCAAACACCAAACAGCTTGTGCTAGAGGCAGAAGCAAACTGTGGAATAACAGATTGAGGAACACAATAATGTGACTGGACTGCATCCCCATTGTGTAAATTATGCATGCAGGACCATAAAGCTATTTCCATTTTATTCACTATCGTTCATTCAATCATTTATGGTTGCTAAAAGAGGTTGATGTAAGGAGAAAATAACTTCTCCTCTATCTAAGTGAGACAATGCACTCGGTTTTCCTTGTATCTCATAACTTAAATCTAATTAACTGCTGGTTTTGTCCCTTGTTCAATTATGATTCAGAACCACCTTTATGGAAACAAGGCCAAGTGTGCTATATAACTCCTGACCTGGCAGTGTTGGTTCACCCCTTGTAAATGTTCTGTCTGTTGGGCAAAGTTTAAAGCTGCTCAGTTTATCTCACATGCACTGTGTGTGTGTGTGTG